GAAAACACACATCTCCTTCTCCTATCAGGACTCTGGAGTCGTTGGATTTAAGTCCGCAGGGAAGAATGACACCATTTAAAAGATTTAACACAGAACATATAAAGCCTTGGAGAAAACGCATGGCTGAGTTTCCTACAGAAAAGATTAATAAATGAACAGGTAGCAGTTGCAGAAAGAGCAGACACAAACCCCAAGATTAGGAGTAGGTTTCAGCTGAAATATTTGTCTTCCAGATGTCAACCTGCCATTCAAAACGTGCCCAAATACAACTGCAATTCTGCATGCCTCTTGCACCTAGTCCCTAGGAAAAGCTTTTAATTAACTCGCACACATTAGATCACCTACAGTATTTTCTTTCATGTCAAAGGAGGAAAAAAAAAAAGGCAGCAGCAAAAGATTTAGAGGTTCATGGTAGATAAAAATTTTTGCAATTCACTACAACCATATCAACGACATTAAATAAATACAGAAGGGTCACAATGCAAAACCAGTTTTCCAAATGCAAGTCTGGTATGGGTTAGCTTTACAGTGACCACGACCTCAAGACAGAGTTTGGGGCAGCTACAAAAATCTTTACATAGGCCATCTGGCTCCTGTGTCCCGCGGCCACTGTGCCACTTTGGAGTAGCTGAAATGCCCCAATTACCCACCCTCCTTCAGCCTGTCTCTCCTTACGTGCTGGCTTTGTCAGTGGTGGCCAAGCAGCGGAGCTCCCCGTCAGACGTGTCACGAGCAGGTCAAGGCGCAGGTCAGTTTGTACCCAGCTCCCACCGCCAGCCACTTCCCACGCCTCTGACTGCGTTAGCACGGCAGTAATCCCAAGGCACAGAAGTGTGAAGGAAGCATGTTCACTTTTGTCCCAACTCTGTGATCACAGGAAGCCAGGCAAGTTCTTCACGCCTGCTTTTCACTAATTCTTTCAGGGTTTTTTGCCAAGGTTTTGACAGTGGGCGCCTGCCTTCCAGGCACATGCGTGACTCTTCATCTTCCAAGTACAATTCCTTCCAAGTTCTCTCCTAGCTAGCACTAGAACTTGAGCGACCACAACCACTGGACATTTGTTTTTCTTCCATTGGTAATACTGTTTCACCCACCCACCCGTTTTCTCTGGGAGAGCCAGAAACAACCAAAAGCCTTAAGGCTCGGTCTCCTCCACCCGCAGCCCTGATACTTGCCTGTTGCAATAAGGAGGGATAGTTTTCCTGCCCATGAACTTGTGTCCATCAGTTAACTTCAGCTTACTGGGCAGTACACGGCAAAACACCAGGCTTCACAGCTCGGCTTTCTCTTTACCCCTCTCCATAGCCCATCAGCACAGGGTTTGACGCCGGCTTTGCAGGGAAACGTCATCCACAGCCAGCCTTCCCACAGCACTAATCGACTGACGCTCAGTTACAGGAGCATTGCGTTTGGCACGTGCCCAGTTTCTGAAGGAGAACCGCCACACTTTGACATTTACAATGAGTAAAGAAGCTAAAAGGAAAGTGCCAGAATGCGCAAACCAGAAAAATCAACTTAAGGACACAGCATTTGAAAGGGCTGACAAGTCTAAGTTCAATGATTTTGAATAACCACCTTTGAAAATTGTCTTTATCCTGTCCCCGATGTTAACCCTCGCACCTGAACTTAGTAAACCTTATGTTCTGTTCTCATTTAGAGACTATACGAAAATAATCCACGATAAACTTCATTCTTTGTCCAGGATTAAGAATTGTATATCGTACTTGCAGTGAAAACCTGTTTTATGCATTAGGGAGAACACAGGACTGAACTATTTTTCAAGTTAAGTGAAGACATTTTTGCATTTTGATCATAAATCCTCTCCTGGTCATTTTTGGCAAACCTGTCAAAAGACATTTTATGCCATTTTGCAAGACGTTGTTATTGGAGGAAAAAGTCAGACTTTGTATTTAAACAAAATGTGCCTGAAACATTGAAAAGCTGATTTAATGTTAACAATTCTGCAACTCAAGCAGTATTTGGGCCAAAAGCTGGCTCCAAAAGATAATGGCAGGCAGAAAAAAAGACTGTATTTCCAAAGAACGTAAAGAAATAAGGCTAAGAACCACTTCAGCAGTTAGAGGATGGGAGAGAGATGTTCTTCTCAGATGTCTTCTCCTCTGTTCACTGAGCCTCTATAATTTTATCAAAATTAAAATCTCCCAGAAACATCCAAACAACAATAAATGTGATTAACCCAGCAGAAGAAAGAACGCCTCTATCTTTGATTTACTCTGAAGCGTAGAGGTGTTCAGGCTTATATGGCCTCACACTGCAAGCAATTTGATTCGGTGCCAAGGCACAATGTGTTCAGTAAAAGACGCTGTGAAAAGTTCAGCTCGGAATTAAAAGACACTCATTTAACTGAAGGCTAACAGAAGATACAGTTGAAGTGCTCTGTCCTACAGTGCCCTCATCAGTAAGTTCAGATCAGAGGCTGAGGGTGCAAAAGCGCTCGCTGGACTGGATTATGAAAGGACTACGTTGCCGATGTGCTTTGACCAAAACTGAATACGTGGTTATTTTCCAGAGTTCTGATAAGAAGGTTTCAAGTTGCTACTCCATGATAACAGCAATCTGTCCTTAGGAACGAGAAGGGGAATCATCATACTCTTCTTTAAATCTCAGTTTATCTGCGGCTTGGGATGGAGTAAGATTTTGACTGGCATCAGACTAGCCAAGTTTTCCAAACAGAATATTTGGGAGCAGCATAAACCTTCTAGGGACTTCACAAATTTGCCAGAACTTAGTTTTTTTAAGAGTATCTTACTTTTTTAAAAATCAAGTTCCACAAACCCAACAATAAAAGGGAGAGCTTCCTACATTTTAAAATCACTTCAAGCACGTAGGTACATATCAAGAGATTTGGTACCGTGCGGATAAACGTGGTACCACACGGATGAGAGCATAAAAGTTTGCAGGGAATTGCAAAATTCCCTCTGATGGCAACAGGAGTTCACGTACGGAAAGGGCTGCCAGCTCCTACCTGCCCCTCTCAGTTTCTCAGTTGAGATTCACACCTTGATGCACACTCCCAAGGGTTCTGAGCACTTCCCAAGGAATGGCAATCTAGTTTTGCTACTCCTCTGGAGCATCACGTAGTGTTATTTTTAGGATACAAAATTACAAACAGAATTCGTTATTGGCAGTCGAAACTACGGCCTCTCTTTCCTCCCTTCAGGAACAGACACTGGAGGAAAGCGCCAGGGGATAACTGTATGGCATTTAATTTTTGGAAACATCAAAACTGTAATAGTTATGATAAATGGTTCTCATCCTAAGCCTCAAGTTGGAATATACAGAATTTAGAAAAGAAGGCTAAAGCAGTTTCAAATGCAGCCTTGATCCCCAAGGCAACTTTCCCAGTTATAATTGTCTTAATTCCCTCTGTCTGTTGTATTATTAAAGAGCCAAACAATGAAAAAAAGAAAAAAAACCTGCACATACATCAGATGAACTAAGTAAGTGACCTGCTTTTCCTCATTCTCTAATCCTTTCCAGTGATAGTAAAATTAAATGCTAATTATAGGAACAAGAGGTTAGAATAAAAGTAATAGAAAAGTTGTAATTTAAAAATAGTCAATTTCTGTTTAAGAGCTACAAATTCTGTACAGAGTGGAAATAAGAGAGAAAAATCATAATCAAGGCACAGAGATTACTTGTTAAATTTCATATGATAATATAAGTAAATATAGTAGAAATGTCTCTTAGACATATATATACAATTTTCTCACAAAATGATACAAATTTCTAAATAATTATTACTCTCTCATGAATAAATACATAATGAGTGCAAGAAAGAAAAGTCTTCAGAACCATCAGTAAACAAATCCAAATGACATTTCTTGTTTACTCCACAAGCGAAAGCAGGATTTGGCTAAAATTTTGACCTGTAAATTCTTCTACTTACCTGCAAAACACCAGGAAAACACAGAATTACCCACTGAAATTCAGGGGTTTGTCACAATTTTTTTCAATATATTTTTGTTAGAGTTTGTATTGGGTTTGCTTTACCTTTCCCTCGATTTTTCATGTCTGGAATAGAAAAACTCAATCTTTCTACCACGGGGAAAAATGGGGAAAATGAGTTTGCTTAACCACATTTCATACTGAGTGCAAGAGCAGAGAGCCCATAAGGACCTGTCATTGTTTCAAAAGATGATATACCAAAGAAATAAGTTGAAAAGATTTTATCTGTCCCTAAACTATTTTGTAGTCATTTTATAATAGCTTTTGCAAAGAGATTTTCTTATTCATTATTTAGGATTCATTAGAATTTTAAGCGGCCAGCTTTAAATTGCCAATCAACATTCCTATTTATTTTGATGGAAAGAAACGAACGCGACGACAACAATCTTTTGCTGACGCCTGGCAGTGGTTACAGGTGAGTACAATTTTTAAGGTGCCTACTTCCCAGTATGTCTAAAAAGGAGTTGTTTAAGACCAAAAATAAATATTTCACTGTAATCAATCAGGATACCTTAGCTTTATCTCGGAAAGCTCTATGTTCAGCAAGCCTGTTTGGCAGCTTTTCTGGAGATCATAAATCAAAAGATTCAGAGTAATTTTCAGCGGTTTTTTGTAGAGAGGCCACTCCCCAGGTCTGCACCTCGCTGGGATGGTCCCTGGGATTAAACTGTGGCTGAGGGAGGAACAAATGAAGACAGTAACGACGTTCTCTTTACCACCAAGAATCCACCAAAAATTGGGAATCTGATAATTATTTTTTCATACGTGGATATACACTCAGATAAACTGACTTAAACCAGCAATCTTACTGCCTCTAAAATGCAGATTATGCCACTGAAATTAAAAAATAAAAAGTTTTGGATGATATCTGTTATACTCAAAACTTCCACACGGGCATTTATTACGACAATTCTGCGCTTCAGTTAACTTTGGACACACCACTCACAATACAAAATTCTTTCGCTTTTGACAGCTTTACAAAGGAAATTTGCTATTCACACCGTGAATGGGGGTATGTATTAATTTGCCTTTCAAAGTGCGTGCAGTCCACTTTGCTGCTGATAATCTGCATAAAACTGGATTAACGAATCGGGAATCCGTGGGGTCACGACAGTCAGTGCGTACCGAAAGTGCCGTCCCATGATGGATTTGGCATGTATGTCTTCCTGAAGAGCTAGAAGGGCTGCTTCTCTACAGACTGCTGTTATCTGCAAAGAAACAATAAAAAAACCCAAACGCACAGCATTAGTATTATAAAATATATTACTTGAAAGAAAAAAAGCAAACATACTCCATATGACAGATACTCACAAGGATGGAGTTTCTCCAACTCTTTTTTTTTTTTTTTTTTTTTAAATAAATGAGGCTGTGGGTGATTAGAACATCCAAGAAACAGTATCTAGCTCGAAATTCAAACCACAGTAACATTACATTTCATATTACAGTACGTTGCAAATTAACCTGATAATCATATTACCTTGTGTTAAACTTCCTGCAACACCTGATAAATTAAAACCTCAACAACCAGCGATACATTTTTCTGTCCCCAAAGCGCTAGAACAGATATTCCCAGGCTCTGCGGGCACTTTTCTTTCTCAGCTTTATGCTGGGAAAGAAGTAAAAACAATTAATTCAGAAAGGAAGGCTAGAAGGAGAGGGGTGTGTGGAAGGGGAGGAGGGTTAAGGTCTCATACCCTGCAATGTGTTTTTAAGCTCTCTGGACTTCAGACAGCGGAAACAGACTGATGCCAGTGTCACTCTAAAGACACATTACTGTGGTGAAAAGAGCTTGTGGAATGAAAAGAGATATTGTGATTTCCAGTGCAACAGGGAAAACAGTGATTGATATTGACTGCTCCCTTATATCTGTAAATGAAAGAGCCAGCTGAAACACATTTGTCCAGCTATTCAGCATATTTTCTCTGTTTGTTCACTTACTGAAAAGAGTTCCCCCGCTTATGCTGTGCTAATGGTTGCCAAAGCCATTTAGTAGCTTTTTAGAGGATTTAGCAGCATGTTTAGGAAGCTTTCACAAGAAAACATGCATGGATTTAGACGGCTTTGTCAAGTTACAACAATATTACTATTAGTTCTGTGCTGCTCTAATGAGCAGTGAAGCTAAACACTGCTGTTATGCATTTTAATGCTTTTCAGGACTTCACAGACAGTTAAGCGGGGAAGCGTAGCTGAGATTGAGTGCACCAACTTCTTGCGGAGCTAAGTAATGCAACATCTACAACGTAACGTGGGGATCTTGGTCTTCCGTTCAGGTTTTTCTCTACGTAGACAGTGTGACTATTTCCCTATCTCTAACACAAAAAATAAACCTACTTAAAGAAAAAAAAACAATACCTAAACTAGATCAAATTCTCCTCCCCCGCCCCATCCCTGCCTAACACCAAACCCAGAAATGCTTCAAAAAGGAGAAGACTGTTGATGGAAAAGCAGATCCCAAACATCCTGGACTCTAAACCTGTGTTGGTCTTTGAAGGAGGGGTCCATTTCCCCTTGATAAATACTGCACTATGGGCAAGCTTTCCACAAAATGAAGAGACCTTCTGGGGGTTTACACAGGCAGTATTAAACCAAAACAAAACGCACTCCAGCAGGTTTTGACCGTCCTGTTCTGCTCACAGAGACCATCACCGACCTACAGTGTCAGAATTATGAAGCAGGGTATCACTCCAGCACAAGATGTTCACTTAATGCGTTTTACTGAAGGAGAAGCTGACGGAAAGACTGTCAAGTTGGCAGATCCAAAAAAGAAGGAACACCACTGCCAGTCTTATTTCTTCCTGTTCCATTTGTAGACTGATACATTTAGGAGGAATTTGCTCACAAGCTGATACTTCTGATGATGCTTTTACATTTTCTCTGTGCTCTGCTGAGAGTATCGGTAGCAGTGATGATAAAACAAAAAATCCTTTGGAAGTTAGTTAATTTTATTCTTAAAGACTGAACCCTAAGTTCTGTGATAACCAAAAATTACTAGACATGAGGAAGCACCAGAAAACTGGTATTTTTTGTTGGTTTCCCAGGAGCATTTGAGCTGCTTTTAAGGGAAGGGGAAGAATTTTAAGGATGAATTATCGTTCTCTCTTTTTCCTGTTTGCACTCAGAATTTTTGCGGACTAAATCTTTTCTATATTATTGAGTAATAAACAGCAGGCATTATGGCACAGCATTTAAAATTTGGGCCCTCGCATCTGGTCGCAGAAGTCACATGGGGTTGTTTCCACTCCTTGACTAACCCCAAGTATCAGGTTTCTTAGGTAAGAGATTTGACAAGGCAAGTTTGGTTATTTTTCTTCGTTCAAGTATGCCAACTTTAAAAAAAAAAAAGTCCTCACAAGCATTCTCACTAGCTAGTAAAGCTAAATCACTCCTGGAAAGCAAACACAAGTAGTAATATAGCCACAGTGAAATGAGAGTGAATTCACCTGGTGAAATCTGCTGCGTTATTGGCCTAAGGTCTGCTGGTTTTTCACAGATATTTCTTGTCACAGTCCCATTAGGACATTTCTTACTAGACCAAGCAACTGAAGGGTTTTTAAATGTCATTTCTGCCTAGATTAAAAAAACCAGCATAGACTGGGTCAAGTGAAGCAAAGAGGGAAGGAAGGTAGCAGAAGGGGTTAGCTGACACCAAAGGAAGAAACCCAGCGGCTTTGCAGCAAGGTACAGATCCCTCCCAGGCTCAGCGGCACTCCAAAACCAGAGGCTGCATCTAGATCATCAGTTTTAAAACCCTGCAACAGACCTATCCTCAATGAATTTCTCCAGTTACTTTCTTAAATCACGTCTCCTTTTGGCCTCCACAACATCATCCTGTAACGAGTGCTACGGTCTAATCATGCATTGTATAAGAAAGCACTTTTGTTTGTCTTAAACCTGGTAATTTCAACAAGTGCCTCCTAGTTCCTGTGTTATGAGAACAGTGATTCATCTGTTGTTCCCCGTTCACCTTCCCCACATCGTCGATGATTTTACAGAGTTTTTTCTCATCCCCTCTCAGTCCAGTCTTTGCAAGCCGAAGAGTCCTCAGCGACTCAGTCCCTGCTCCTGCAGAACTTGTCCATCCTGCAGCCCGTCTGCCATGTCGGCTGCGCTCGTTCTGCTCTATCCTCCTGCTCCTGAGCAGCTGAAGTCCCTGCAGGGCAGGGAGGGAGCCGCGCCACGGCACAGCTGTGTCTCTGGGTTGCTTGCAGGTCCTTTCCTATTATTATATTTGCCATCATATTAGCGCCGAGATGATTTTTCTCAGAAAACTATCCGCACTGCCTCCAGTGTCTTTTCCTGAGTGACAATATCTAATTTAGGTCGTGTAATTGTGAATTTGAAGCCTGGGTGATTTTCTTGTCTCTCCGTTGCATTTATCAGCATGAATAGCCTCTGCCCACCTCTATAAATGAATGCTGTGAACCACCGTTACCTATCTGCCAGTTGTAAGACAATTCTTAATTATTTTCAAATACAAATCCAAGGGATGACCATTTTCATCTTTTCAGTATAAAAAAAGGCAAAAAAAAAAAAAAGTGCAGTCTTTTGGATGTCTCTGTGTTCTGAGGAATAGGAATAATGTCCTAGTCCTTGTTCAAAGGCAAAATTGCAGCTTGATGTATTGAAGGACAAAATAGATTTTCTTGACTGCCGCTGAATATAGAGTGGCTTTCAGCACTGACTGTTAAAGCAGTAATGAAGACATTCAGGGATTGTCAGAAACAAGTGATTAAACAGCAACAGACCAGGCAGCAGGTAATTAAGCAATAACTACTGAGGTGTGAGGCGTTATTGCAGCCAGCCAGGTGTGGTTGAATACTACTGAATCTAGAATATACCCTAGTTTGATTATTAATATCATTATAAGTGAAAGTTTAACAAGTGCTATTCTCATTTTCAGTGGAATGAGAGCAAATTACTGACGTATGCATTAGTTTGCTGTCTGCAGTCCTCTCTCAGCATGGAAATAATTTTGAATTCATGTATTAAAAAACGATTATCATTTTTCTAAAGGACTGATTTATCACCTGAGTGCTTTAGGGTCAGAAAATAAACAACTACTTTAGAATCCTACTTCAAAGTCAAAAAGGCGACTGTATCAAGTTATCCTGCGAAGAAAGGAGAACTAAAATTTGCTATCTGAATCACATGCAGACATGCTGATCAGTCATAAGCAAAGCCACACACAGGCTCACAGCTAGGGTGCAAACAATGATGAGTCCCAAAAAGCAACGGATTTACACCTAGTCATTCCCTCCCTCCCCATTTCACTCCCAGCAACAATAAAATGCCCAGTGCCAGTTACTGTTCCCTGAATAAACAGCATTCAGCATAACCCATCTTTCTCCCGAAACCAATGGTTACACTGGCTGATTCAGCTTGGCCGATTCTCCCCCATTCTGGCATTAAGCACCAACTCTTTCCAGTGGACTGAAAGTCCTTTTCAGCTTCTTTGTATTTAAAGTGCTCTAAAGAGCTTTAAAGAATCTTTCAAAAAAAAAAAAAAAAGAAAAAAGAAAAAGGGGGGGGAGAGGGGAGGAAAAAAGAAATGAGCTTCTGTGTTAAAGCCTTAGGTATTTTCAAGAAAGTGGTTTTGTTAGTGCAGGGTCTGTAGGGAACACCTGTGAATGTCGGGTTTAATTGGGCTGCAGCTGGTGTGGATTGTGTGCGCAGTAACTGGCAGCCACTGCCTGGCTGTACATTGTGTTTCATTTTCCTTTTTCCTTCCTTTTTAACTTGCTCCTCCACCCCACCAGTTAAAGTTGTAAGGGATTGTGCGTAAGAGGGATTAGGAGCCTGGAAACAGAATAGTACCCTGCGGTTTGTGAATAGCGCAAATTGTGGCGCTTCCTGGATGAAAACTACCTGCGAGACCATGCGCCCGTGCGGTGCACGCCTGCTAGGCAGCGTCAAAGGAAGGTTGTGTATAGGTTTGGGGAGTTTGCTTTCCCGCTCTGTTAAGGAGAGATAAAAAGTTCATACATGGCGTTTTAAAAAGACATGAATATCTCCTGGGTCAGGACATCTGTTTCTCACTCAGGCAAATTCCTACCCGCGTCATGCGCCTCCTCTTGTTCCTGTGTCCAAAGCTGCTCTATGGAGAGCAACAGCCTTATCCCCATAAAACCGGGGACGTCGGAAAGCTCTCGGGACCCAGGGCTGTCATCTGATTGAGGAAAGAGGTGGGCATGGGCACCTTTCCAAAGTG